GAAAAACTTTTAGAGCGCGCCGACACCGTACAACTGAAACGTTGCATCTACGCGGCTCAGAGGCCAGGGCTCCCCCCTGTCTGTACGCACAATGTCACCAACGACGGATCGGACCCTGTCCTAAGCCACATCAGAAGAATCGGTCTGTTCAACAACAGTCACGATCGGGTCAAGGTCAGTTGGACCTGGATCACAACAGTCCAAAACTCAAAGAGCCCAGTCCCTATCAGAACTTTCATTCGTTGATCATTTCGTCCCCAGTTGAAATTGAGGAATTCAGCCTTCCCAGACCTTAGCTAGGCTAATGGACTGGAATGACTTCACTGCTTCCTAGTGCAGGAAACCAGTGAAAACTTGCCATATCAAGGATATTCTCTCTAATGCAACAGCTTTCCGCAGAAAGAGTTGTATATGTACATAGAGGGTTTGCGCGGCTGCCATCTTGCGGGCCTGTGCTTTTGTTATACATGGTATGCACAAAGGAGGTTTCCCTTTGGAACAAAATATCTGCCCTGCAAGATGGCTACCGCGCAAAGCCGTTTTAGATAGAGTAATGCCAACTTCAGACTTTGGAACCAAAATGGCTGTTCAATGTGTGCACAGTACAGCTCATTGTCCATATGCACAGATGCGTAATCCACCATTTTGGTGCCAGTAATTGAGACACACATGTCGCAACACTGTCTATTTTGCCAGCAGTTTGATTGTACATTCCAAGATCTTACTGTTGAAGTTCTTGCTCCCTTTGTTCAGATTATCTTCCATCCTGAGTTTCTCACGGCCACCAATCCTCTCTTTGCTTGCGACTACGAGGAGTTCGTACGTGGCTGCCATCTTGGCGTCTTTCCTTCCTACTACGAGCCCTGGGGATACACCCCAGGTTAGTCCCTGTCATGTGACCTCTCATGTAACTTGCAATCACAAAAGTATTGAAACTTTCCTCAGTCGCGGTCCGTAGTTTGACCGCGACTGCTGGGCTGTGGTATGCCCTGAATGGAGGGCTTTGTCCAGCAGCAGGCCCCGTTGAACCAGCAGCTGCAGGGTGAATAGACTGTATGCGTGGTATGCACTAATCCTCACACAACGGTGCGGTAGTAGCAGTCCTCTGTAGCGAAGGGGTTAACATGGCTGCTGGCTATTTGACATATAATGAGTTGATTGTACTGTCATCCATTGTACGTGGCTGCCATCCGAGCAGCCACGACGAGTCCGTCATCCATGAGTCCATCTATCAACTTGTAAGTCATATGTGGTGATTTTTGATGGCAATTTCATAAACTTGGGCATCAGTACTGAAAGACATATGCGGGACAGAGGTTAACAGATTAAACGGATTAATGAGCGTCCCCAAACTGAAACTGTCCAAGGTCATTTGGGAACAGCTGCGCGGGCGATAGTCTGGCCTATCAACGCAGCCATACACCAACTCAATCTTGTGCTTTGTTCCTGAAAGGCGTTGGCTTTACGAAATACCAAAGTGGCTCGTTGAAACTTGCTGTGTGAAATCAAGCGGGTGTCGTCCGATGTTTCTTTTGTCATTATTAGCACAGTTTTTTCTCTCGTCTTTCAGCGGAGTGCACCGTGATGGGTATTCCAAGTGTCTCCACCAACTTGTCTGGGTTTGGCTGTTTCATGGAGCAGCACGTCGCAGATCCCACATCCTACGGTATCTACATCGTGGACAGGAAATTCAAGGCACCCGATGAGTCCGTCTATCAACTTGCAAGGGTAGGCCAGAACATTCTCAATTCCAAATAAAGTGGAGACACAGAAAAGAAATTAGGACAGGGTAGAAATTTAGACCCCTGGTATTTGATTAAATCAATGGCAACTCTAAACTCCATACATTTACGTGTCATCTCCACATTGTACAAGGACCACCTAGCTCTCTGCATTTCTGAATAACACGTCTTGTTCTATTTTTCACTTGCAGTTCATGTACGACTTCTGCCAGCTGACTCGAAGGCAGCGAATTCTCCAAAGGAATCGTACTGAGCGTCTCAGTGAACTGCTGGACTGGAAGAGCCTGGGCATCGTAAGCAGGCATCCCTGTTTTCTCTGTGCACACCCTGAAGAGGGCGGTATTTTGCCTTAATGGGAAAAGAAAGCGCCTTTCCTTTCCACCACTTTGTGCATACTGATTATGACGCGACGGTTTTCCTGTGGTATTTTTAGTATTACAGAAAAGCGCGTTACCTGGCTCTCCACAAGACCCACCCGGAAATATTTGAGGTTGCAGATGAGAATGACGGGAAGATGGTAAGCATGGTAAAAAACAATCAACAGGGTCACTGAGGACAGGTTCTCATACATATGTCCTCATACATGTGAGAGGACAGACAGTGTCCTCAGAGCTTCTGAACTGTATTGGTTACTATGCATGTCCTTTATTCCATGTTTCAAGTGCAAGTGGTGTTGCTCTCAGAAACAGAGTGATACTTGTGTGGTCGTGCTCAATTTGACCCCATGTCAAAGACTATGCACTCGGCTGTGAATGATTTCATCTCTTTAATTCAGCCCATTTTGTTTTTTTGTTCCGCCCACCAGACGATGAGGTATCCCCGCCCAGCATCTGCCCCGCCCTCTCCCTCAAGCTCACGGGCATCGACCCCTCTGCCATCCACGGATGAAGAAGAGGACGAGGACTACGAAGACAAAGACAAAGAGGACACGAAAGACAATTAAGATTTTGATGGCTGTTGACCAGTTTAGTGTGAAAAATTATAGTATTTTAAAAAGTATTTTAACCCTGAAAGAGTTAGGCCTTTTTTGGACCTTTTCGGACTGGGGGAACGAGATTCCACCCCCTCCAAGAACTCGGCTTTCTCAAACACCATCTTTTGAAACCTTTACGAGCATTTTCAGACACCCATTACTAGTACGTCGGTGAAGTTTCAATGAAATCTGATATTGGAGTTTGTTGTTATGGTCATCTGAGATTCATGGCTTTACGTGTGCCGGGCCGCGTACATTGAACACATCAGTGGGATAATACGACTTCTTGGCCCACCTGTCTCAGGTGTAAATCAATAGCCACTTTCAAAATAAGATATGTGAAGCTATGTTATTGCATTGGAAACCTGCATTGTTGGATCACCAGGAAAACGGAAAATCTGTGGGTATATTTCATAGAGTATTCATTACCATAGATTTTGGCTCGTGTGCGCTGTGCACATTAAAACCCTCCTATGCTGAAGTCACTCTTTTGGGGAGTTGGTAAGTCGAACAAACAGAGATGCACAGCCGTGTCCTGTTGTGCACTGCACCAACAGTCCCTCACAGGAATATCAGATTGCACTTTTGTGCTGCCCAACAACTGTGCTTCACTGTTTCA